AGGATTGAATTTGCGAGTTTGTAGTGACTTTTTTCTTTTCTAACTTACACAATCCTTGAAGTTTAAACAAACAATAACTGGTTAAGACTTCTTGCATTTGGTGATTGAAAAACACATGGAGGAGGTCAGAATTAGTGGAAGTGGGAACAGTTAGCCACAACGAGTCAGTCAAGCAAGCTCTATATCGTCAGCTTTTGCTCTCCATATTAAATATATTATTACTCCATCCTCAGTTATAATGTATTATTGAGAAATCTTAGAAAGCATACTGTCAATAATAGGGCAAGTCAGTAAAGATAATGATGTGAATTCCATGTAGAGATCTTACAGATTAATTAGTCACATGATGATGAGTGTATTATTATAATAGCTTAAATCATTACATTATTAATGGCTTAAACCTAAATCTTACAAGCTCTCTCAACTAAAAACAATGTTCGTAGCATTTTTAATGTGGAAATTTATTTTCGAATTGTAGTGTAATTAAATAATGTAACCGTTATGTTATCATTAGTTTTATTTTAGCTTACACTATATGAAGACCTCAGTCCTGTTAGAACAGAAGTTATCTATATCTAGTGAGAGAGATATTAGGGTGTGTAAGAAGGATTTGATTTTGACCGATTTGGTCTCGTTTGTTGTGACGGGTATGAGGGTGGTTGTCACTTCCCAGCTCCCCACACCGTGGAAGGTTATTTCTTGAGGGACCTGAAAAAGAAGATAGATTAGTGTTGGTCTTAGAGACCTGGGAGCGTGACCGCAGAGCACAAGGGACAACTGCTTGAGGCCTTTTTATGAAATGTTTTTTGAGTATTAGCTCCGCTCTTAAAAGCCCTTAGTGGGCACCCTTACCACCGGAGACGGAAATCCATGAGGTAGGGTTAGGTGTGACATTTTTAGGGTCGACCTTTTATAACCCCCACCTTCCTTGTGAAAAGGCAGCATCGCTGCAGATGCTGGTTGTCCGAGGGAAACACCTTACTGCTGTCACACCCCTCTGCAGTCAGTCAGCAGTACGACTTCGCCCTGAGACCTTGAGTAGCTGCTTTTAGTCTCATCATTCTCTGAACGACCTCCCCAGCATGGTAGAACCTACAGGAACATATGTTCCAGCCAATATAGCTCGGTTGGGTCATGACGATAGGCAAGCCCGACTACCACGTCAAGGTAGCAGCTACGGTCGATATCTATATCTTGTATCTAGTATTTTAGTTTGAAGCAATGTTATTCAAGCAGATAACAACTCACAGATCAAGTGAAATTAGATCCCATCGATAAAATATCAACAGATATAGAATAGAAATTATATTTAGCCACCTATTGCCAATATTAACCAATATTCACTTTGAATTATCAACACATTGAATTATTTAAATGTATCAAACTTATATTCGTACTTTGGTTTTAAAACATTCAACATTGTTAAAATTCAATCAGTATATACAATAAAATAACCACGAGTTTAAATAGAAGCTTTTAATCTCAAATCATGAAGAAGCGGTGGAAGTGGTTGATAGGACACACACTACGAAAAGCACCCAACTGCGTCACAAGACAAGCCCTCACATGGAAACCTCAAGGTAAAAGGAAAAGAGGAAGGCCAAGAAACACATTACTCCGAGAAATAGAGAAAGATATGAGAGGAATGAACAAACATTGGACAGAACTGTGGAGGGAAGCCCAAGACAGAGTTAGTTGAAGAAAACTGGTGGGCGGCCTATGCTCCATTGGGGGTAACAGGCGCAAGTAAGTAAATAAGTAAGTCTAGTGATTCACTTCTCTTTATGCAGACATAAAATGCAAACATTTCTCCAAAACTAAAGGAAAGTCAATGATGGTTGATATTGTTCGGTATTTTGTCTACTAATTATTAAAAGTATAAAACTTTTAACTAAATCGGACAACTGAATCTATCCGAGAAATTCATTCTGTGCAAAGAAAGAACACCAAAAAAATACATCCATTTCGTCAATATTGTTCGTTGAAAAAAAAGAATTTGGTTGTTACGCTCAGTTTTATAGTAAGTTCTACATAAATATTCTACATAAATACCCTATTTTTTAAGTATGAAAAATGTTTGTAAGATGCATTTTTTGTTCTATGTAGTTATTGTTCAGGTAATATATGTGTAAGTAGTCACTAAAATCTACCTAAAATTGATAAATTCAAATTATAACGTAGCATTTATTTGCACAAGTGAAAAAACTACTGTGAATATCAGAATCTTAGATTTGAATAACATGGAAAAGATATGAACAGTGGACATGGCATACACATGGCATATACACAACAACAGCATACATAACGTATGCATGCATACATATATATACATTTCATCAATACCCCATTTTAAACACAATGTCAATAGGCTGGATAATGTATATAGAGAATTGAAAATACATTTCATTATCATCCTCCTACATTTTATTTCTATTCTGTTTTAAACAATGAGTATTTAAGTTTTTTGAAGGAATTTTTTAAATTTCCAAACGAGGTTGTAAACTATGCAAAAAATTGACGGACATGTTGTAAGCTCTGTTGAATGTTGTACACTGACTGATCAACTCAGTTTTTTTGTTTCTTTCTTCTAAATCTCCCTTTTACATAAACCAAAAAAGTCTTAATTTATGTTGGGAAAACTGTTATAATTAAAAATTTTCCATTTATGAATTCCAACTTACTGATTGGAAAACGCCCTGGTTTTATTTTGCTTGTAAAGCAACCAGATCTGTTTCAAAACGTCCCTAAAAGATCCAAAAAATAACTTGAATACACAGATACCTAGATTTAGTGATCAGTTTTGTTTACTTGCTTAATGTTATCTGACTTTGACTTCAATGAAAAATGTATTCTTTCAAAATTGATATCATTACCTAAATATAGGCTAAGAGTAGGCTTTAAACAGTTTTGTCATCTATTTATTAGCTGCTACCTTGAACATCGTGATGACACAGCTGAGCTATACTGGTTGGAACGTATGTTCCTGAAGGTTCTACCATGCCAGGCAGGTCGATTGGAGAAGGATGATCATAGATATGCTTTTAGAAATCAACTTATCCTCGTCTGAATTTTCAGGAGTAGACCTTCTACCAGGTGGCTCGTTTATTGACTTGGAATATGCCGATGACATAGACCTACTTGGTGAAGACGCTGACAAAATGCAGAGTCTTCTGACCACCCTAAGCAACAATCCAAGCATGTTCGGGATTCAGTTTCCCCCCTCGAAATGCAAAATGTTGCTTCAAGATTGGGTTGCATCGGCAGCTGAACTAGTGATAGGGAGTGAAGTAGTCGAACGTGTAGGCCGCTTCACTTAAATTGGGAGTCTCATCAACGCTGATGGTCTGATGACTGACGAAATCTCAGCTCGGATACAGAAAGCTCGATTGGAATTTGCCAACCTGCGTCACCTATGGAGCAGGCGAGATATCCGTTTGCTAACCAAAGGACGAGTGTACTGTGCAGCAGTTTGCTCCAGCCTACTGTACGGATGCAAGACTTGGCCGTTAAGAATAGAGGACATTCGTAGGTTAATACTCTTCGATCATCGATGTCTCCAAAGCATTGCTCGTATATCGTGGAACAACCGAGTGAGCAATGCTGTCGTTAGGAAATGAGTTCTAGGTAAGGATGAAGTATTAAAACTTCATCAGTTGAGGTGGTTGGGACATGTGTTACGAGTGCCTAACCACCGACTGCCTCGACGAGCTATGTTTTGTGGTGTAGGAGTAGATTGGAAGAAAGTTAGGGGCGGTCAAACCAAAACGGCAGAAATCCATGAAGACACTGACAAGCGTACTGAGTCATGTTGGTAGATGTAGGATACCTGGTTAGGGTCCACGAGACGAAAGTCACCAATGTTTAGAGAACTTGAATGACATGGTTCAGAATCGTTTGCATTGGCGCAGGTTCACCCACTCTTTGTGTTCTGTGAAATTCTAACCTTCTGAATTCCTCATAATCTCTATCTTTCTTCTTCTAAATTTATCTCACTGAATTATACTTCTCGAATCATTTCTTCGCTCCCTAATCTTTTCCATTACTGCTAATACTTCTATTATTGCTATCACTCTTCGATTTGAACTGACAGTTGCGTCTCTGTGCTGATGTGGTATGGCAACCTGAACTGATGTACGTACGTTTGAAGTTCTGCGTTGTATCTGTCTCTGTCTATTGATGAGAAGTGTTCACTCAGAATGCAGGACATTGTTCCGATTTACATCTTTATAGATTGCACTAATGATAGTAAGCTATTTTTATTTTTATGATCAATTACTTTTGATACAACTTATTAGTTAGTTTATATTGATCCCATTGAACATGAACAAACATGGGAAAGAACTTGAAAGGGAAGTTCAGGATAAAGTTGGTTGGAGAAAACTGATCTGTGGCCTATGCTCCGTTGAGGGTAACAGACGAAAGTAAAGTCAGTAAGTAAGTAAGTAACATTCGATGAGATATGGTTTACTAAATCAATCAAAAAAACAGCTTTCACTTTTTAATTTTCAGCAGAACCCTAAGCTCAACTGAACAGACGTTGATCGTTGATCCTATTTTCAAGAGAATGAGAAATCTCATCAACAGTTCAGTTATACACTACAAAGTAGCTGTTTTCGCGCAGAGAATACATCAATTTTAATGTTTTTATCGACTGTTTAAAAAAACAGCGTTATAAAGTATTTTCAATAAATTGAAAATATCAAGTATCAATGCCATCGAAAAAGGTTTCATTTAAAAAAAAACATTTCTATGCACACATCAAATTGCGTTGCGGGGTTGTTGTGAATATTGTTAAGTTTTATTTGTAACGGTTAGGGCGTTCGCGCACAATACCAAAGGTCCTGAGTTTGAATCCCGTGGGGTGTAGGAGTCGTGGATGCTCACTGCTGAGGAGTCCCATACCAGGACGAAACGGCCGTCCAGTGCTTTAAGGTTTCTAATGGTCGTCTAACATTGATCGATTCATGGTCACAAATAAAACAACAAATTGCTTCACTTACCTGTACGTGTATAGAAAACCACTCGATTTCTATATTCATAATGATTATGAAATGCTTGATTGATTTCCATACGAACTGTGGGTGTGGTTTCGGAACCCCAGAGAAATTGGCATACACTACTACGTGACATGACATTTGCTCGTGAATAATGAGTTAACAATAAAAATCCATCGGAACAATAAACAATCGGATAAGATTTTCTTTGTGCATTGCCAAGTACAAAATTGGAATCTGAAATAATCAGTAAATGTAAATGTAAATAATAATAATAATAATAATAGAAAACTAATGAGATTATTGATTGCAAAGTGAATCAATCTCGCCTTCGCCATAAGTGACGTAGGTTGGCAAAAGCGTCACTAATAGCGAAGGCGACATATCCGTTTGCTAACTAAAGGATGAGTAAGTGTACTGTGCAATAGTTCCCTCTATCTTATTTTATGGCTGTGAAATATGGCCAGTGAGAGTAGAAGATATTCGTAGGTTACTGGTTTTCGATCATAGATGTTTAAGAAGCATTGCTCGTATATCGTGGGATACCCGAGTGAGCAACGCTGTTATTAGGAAACGAGTGCTAGGTAAGAATGGTAGATCAATAGATGAAGTAATGAAACTTCATCAGTTGAGGTGGTTGGGACATGTGCTGCGTACGCCTAACCACCGACTGCCTCGACTAGCTTTGTTTTGTAGTGTAGGAGTAGGTTGGAAGAAATTTAGGGGCGGCCAAACCAAAACATGGCAGCAATCCATGAAGTCATTGACAATTGGACTGAGTCATGTTGGTAGTTGTCGACTACCTGGTTGGTGTCCGAGAGATGATAATAATCGATGGTTAGATACCCTGAATGAAATGGCTCAGAATCGTTTGCAATGGCACCGGCGCATTTATTCTTTATGTTCTCTCAAATCCTAATCTTCTGAATTCTTCAACACCTCTAGTTTTGTCTTTCTAAACTTATCTCACTGAATCATACTTCTTGAATAATATCTTGTAATCCTAATCTCTCCGATTGCTTCTAATACCTTTACTACCTCTTCTACTATGCGATTGGAATTGACAATTATATCTCTATGCTGATGTGGTATGGCAACAAGAACTGATGTACTTATGTACGAAGTTCTACGTTGCACCTAACTGACTGACTGAATCAATCAATCAATGTGTTGTTATATGCATAAATGTTCAGGCAGAATTGTATTGAACGGAGTTTGGTTTTTTGTCATATATCTATGATGATTTTTAAAGTGTATTTCTTTCTAATCAAAATACATAAACCTAGATTTCTCGAATGTTTTCATCTACATTGAAATTTCGAAACCGACTGTTTACCGCAATCAGTAACAGTGTAATTAAAGTAAATCAGAACGATCAAAGCCTCTCAAATGTTGGATTATTGTGAAGGCACATAATCTCAATGACATGTATTTTCACGTACCAATCCCATTTTTTTTGCAAACGATGCTTCAAATCAATATCAACTGGGATTACGTAATAGGAAATATTAATGAATAATTAATTAATCTAGATTTATGCTACATGATAAATGATTGGGGGGAAGAATACTTTGTTTTTGTGCGTGTATGTTTGTTTGTTTTAACTACGTATTAGTTGTTTTTGGTTTTTCCCCAATTAAATAAATAATAAATGTTTCATGCAACTAAAAATGAACAAGTTTAATCAATTAACAAATATTGATTTTTTTTCCCAGTTGTACATTTTGTTAATCTGTTCGATTCCATTTTTGAGGTGATGATAATATTATTTGTAGCTTGTTATAGTTTTTTTATTTCTTTTTTGTCTTCACTGAGTTTCTATGTTTCTTTCTGAACTGCATTTATGTTGTTAAAGCTGATACTTAGTCATGGAGACAGCTATATTTGATTTGTGCCTCATTTGAATGTGTCGGTTGCTTGCATTGGACTGGAATTATGCACTTTGTTTGTAAAATTGAAGCACCCTTGCAGAATAAGAAGTACTCTATGTTATAAAGCAACCAAATATTATCTGTCGAACGAATCTGATCTATCCAGGTGGGATAGAATAACATTTATTTGTTGTAGTCGGTTTGATTAATTGAACAATTGTTGGTGGAATAACCGAGTCGTGATATTTATTTAGGTAATGATATAGATATTTATATTTATGATGAATATTAGAACCGTTATTTACCCAAATTAACTTGTTTTGGTTTGAAGGCGCGTATGTAAACTACCTAGACAGTTAGTTATGGCTCAGTTCAAACCTTAGTTTGGATCTTACAACTGTGTCAAGTTGATTGACGAATCCTCCAAAAAATATTTTGCTAATGTCCCTTATCTATTTCATGTTAAGGTAACTTTTTTAAAGATATTCTTTAAAAATGTATTGAAAATCAAGAAGCCATGTCTATCATTGGTATTCTTAGACACAGAACTGATGGTAAAGACATATTTGCAAGGATTGTAAATGATAAATATTCATGCACACATTATTCAATAAGTGTTTGTTGTTTAGTACAAATGAAATGTGCTTTGTGAGCCATAAACAAACTGACTTTTAATTAAATGTTATTAACAGCTGAAGAAACTAGTATAATTTGGATCAGATTGTAATGAATGTCACTTACATAATATTATCTGTTCGTAAATTTTCAACAGATTCGAACAGAAAAAATATGTGTGAACAATGAATATTTTTTTCGAGCAGAGTTTTGAAGGTTTTTTGTTTTTACACATTTGAAATCATCAATCAATCATTGTTAGATGACCACCATTAGGAACCTGGAAGCACTGAAACACGGCCGTTTCGTCATGGTATGGATGCGCACTGCTGATCAGTCCCATACCAGGACGAAACGGCCGTCCAGTGCTTCCAGGTTTCTAATGGTGGTCTAACAATGATTGAATATTTTTTTAACAACTAATCTTGATTATGTTCTATAAACATTGAAAAAAGTTTATAATAGAAAAAAATCATCAGTTTGAGTGCAATTAAGTAGTAGTAATCATATATAGTAAACCAGAAAACAAAATGCATTTTTGTACACACAATCTTTCTCCATAACTCAAAACACTTGTCAATCAACACCAAAGTCGGTATTTTCAAGATAGTTCAAGTTTCAAGATAGTTCTATTGTATGGAGCGGAAACTTGGAGAACTACAGGAGTTACCATCCACAAGATACAGATTAGTAATAACAGTGGACTAAGAAATACACTACACCTAGAATTAGAGACGCACATGAAAGGAATGAAGAGAAATTGGATAGAGCTAATAAAACAAGGCCTAAGACTTAGTTGGTTGGAGAATACTGCTGAGTGACCTGTGTTCCATGAGGGGTAATGGGTGCAATATAATTGTTTCTTTGAGTCTGACAAGTACATAGAATTATTAGATATTTTCAAGAGCAGTTCAAGAGCCAAATAAAAACTAAATCGTTTGAATTTATTCAGCAGAAATTACAGTGTTGTGTGGCCGTCATAGAAAATTACTGTTATCACTGTCTCAGATATAACTTCACATTTTTTGAAACCATGAATCGATCAATGTTAGACCACCATTACAAACCTGGAAGCACTGGACAGCCGTTTCGTCCTGGTATGGAACTCGTCAGTGGCAGTGCTCATCCACGACTTCTGCACCCCTCAGGAGTGTGTAACTTAACAATCTTCACAACCCCGTAATTCAAATATAACAATCCGATTTTAGATTTTCTCATGATGCATGCTAAGTAATTATACTTTTGAGAGTGTTGAAAGGTTTAATCTTAATTTGCTGAGTCCAAATCTCAGACGATGATAGAGTTATCATAAAAACTGTTCTTATCAACGTGTTAAAAGTAACTTCTTACCCTATATATGAATATGAGAAATTCAACTGTTTCCGTTTTCAGAAATATCTGCCTGCGCTATAAAACTTAAAATCTCTCTAGTATTTGTTGGTATATAAAACTAACCTGGTCATTGCTTGACAATAAACGTTGAACCTGTCTTCTCGAGGAATATGCGTGCAACTATTTGTTATGATGCACTGATTCTAAATGTCAAATTTTTTAGTCAAACTTAGATTTTAGGCGAATTTTCGCACACTTCAATCATCTTTCAGGCAAAAATTAAAAAAATATAGCAGTCGAAAAATATGATTGACGTTTAATTTGACAGATTTTGCATAGTTAAGGGGAAAAGATTTTTTAAAGGAAAATGATCTACATTTAATTTTCCTGTCACATTTGTTATACTGTTCAAATAAAAAACTGATGTTTTTCCTACCAAACTGACAATTAAATGTCAATTAAAAGGGTTCAGTCAATCTCACAGACATATTTGCTTACAAGAACAATCCTAGACACAAAATTCAAATCTCAATCGTAAATAGTTATTTTTTTGTTAGTTAAATGTGAAATTTAGGCTTATCCTACCTCTAGTATAAGCATTACAGAAATTTATATCTCAACGTCTTCATGCTGATTAGAATATATATATCATATAGGAGAAACAAGGGGTCTTGAGATGTTCATCATAGACGTGTTTGTCATTTGCGTTACTGTATTGGGTTTGGTAATTTTTTTTTAGATTTTTGACTCTCTTACATTAGAAATCATCAATCAATCATTGTTAGACCACCATTAGAAACCGTTTCGTTCTGGTATGGGACTCATCAGCAGTGCGCATCCATGATTCCTGCTCCTCGCAGGATTCGAACCCGGGACCTTCGGCATTGTGCGCGAACGCCTAACCATCGGACCACTGGGCCGGCATCCAACTGTGTTAATGTCTAACTCTGATTGATCTAGGGATTTTGCGCGACCTAACCCATTTGTCTTTTGTAGTAGTTACTGCCTACACTCGACAGGGTTGAACTCCATTGGACACGTCTTCTCAACTAAAACTCCGAGGATTTCCTCAGGAAGCTAGTCACTAGTGAGCACTTTTACGATATTTTGGGGCCCCAAAATATCTCTTACATTGTTTCACTGATAAATATAAGCAACCTTTCCTTTTAAAATATGCTTTGACGAGCCTTAGCCATTGAGGTCAAAACAGTTTTTGCAGCTCAATAGCTAGCTGGCTACCGGCCAAAGAAGGGGCACAAAATTATTGGCTGCCGGTGAATAAGTTCAAATTGACAAGCAATTAGATCGATAAGCGTCAGAAATTAACGGGTTTCAATGTGGTATTTACATTCAAAATAATTTAATGGTTAAGTGACAACCGAAAATTTGTGAAAAAAGAGAGATTGCTAAGCTCAGGAT